CAATGTCAGGGCAGTCCTCAGTTTGCACTGATGCTGTCTCTGGGGATCCCCCACACAGGACATGCATAATTACAGGCCTTAAACCAGAGATGCATGGTCTACCATGTAGAAAGAAGTGCGCCACCATCTGGTCTGATAAAGCATAGTCACCAAAAAATAACCGTCATTCCTAAATGGCAGATGCCCAAATGGGTCATTTTATGAAATTTATGAAAGGGAAAAGGGAAATTATAAGTCTCTAGTTTCTGACCGTAAAGGTCAGCCTTAGATCTACTTTTCCAGCTTAACTAACCTATTTCGGTAATAGTAAATTGTGAGTAAGGCCGTGTGTTAATGATTTAAGTAATGTATCATAATTAGGGAGAAGGAAAGAGCTGTTTGTAAAACATTTGGGTGGACAGTTGTACAGGAAGCTGCAGAAGTCGGGATAAATAATTTAGACGTAAGCCCAGTAGTACCATTGCCCATCATACCGCCTTGGATTTTACCTGATGCCATGGTGGATTTAACTCTACTCGAAAAAAAGACTACAGATGAGAATTTCATTTGTAATTCAATAACGGTTCAGGAGTATATAGAGAATTTTTATGATTATGTAAAAGTTTACACTGATGCATCCCGGAGTCCGTCGGGTCAGACGGGAGTGGCAGTTGTAATTCCAGAATTCAAAATTAAAATAGGAAGGAAACTAAATGAAGGGCTATCTGTCTACACAGCAGAAATGATTGCATTGCTACTTTTGGTAGAATGGATTGAGGAGACCAGACCATTACGAACCGTGGTGTGCTCAGATTCCAGTTCATCATTAGCTAGTTTACTAAGAAATCATTCAGACAGCCGTCCTGATATTGTACTAGAAATTCAACAAGTACTATATCACATTCAGATGATGGGATTGGTAGTTGTGTTTCTCTGGGTACCTACACATACAGTATAGGGGTGGAAGGAAATGAAATGGCAGATATGAAGGCCTAAGAAACAGCAAAACAGAATAACATCGACATGACAGCCTCCTATAGTAAATCAGAGGTTAAAAGTATTATCAAAAGGAAAGTTAAAGAAAATTGGCAAAAACAGTGGGACGGTGATGTGAAAGGTAGGTGGTTCTACGGAATTCAAAGGAAGGTAGGAGAAGTTGGAAGAAGTACTGGAAAAAGTAGAATACACGAAAGGATAATAACTAGACTACGGCTGGGACACTCGGGACTTAATGCTACATTACACATAATGGGGAAACATGACACAGGACGGTGTGAATTCTGTGGAGACAGTGAAACAGTGGAACATGTAATGATTAATTGTAGGAGGTACCATACAGAAAGGACAGAATTAATACGGAGTCTTGAACAGGAAAAAGAGCAGTACTCACTTGTGAATATATTACGGAAAAGCCCTGCCGATGTGTGTTTTAAGTTTATTTTTCAGTATTTGAGGGCAACTGGGTTGGATAAAAGAATTTAAGGGTTTTTTAAATTTTTTTGAGTTTGACTGTCTGATTCACACTCCCTACCGGTTGGTGGCGGTAATGCACCAAATAGTTGTTTGCCAGCCGCCATAAAAAAAGTGTTGCCAACTTAGCGACTTTGTCGCTAGATTTAGCGACTTTTCAGACCCCCTTGACGACTTTTTTTTTTTTTTCAAGAAAGCGCCTAGCGACAAATCTAGCGACTTTTGGACAAACCTTAGCAACTTTCCAAATGTCGCCAGTACTGTCCTGTAAGCGCGAGGTCTTGCTTTCCCGGTACAGTTACTCATCTCCCTGTATCTGCTCTGATCAGTGAGAGCTAGCTCCGGCTGAAAGGAGCAGCATATTCCCGTGACTGCACGGCAGCTGACATAGATGTGAATGAGCTGCGCATGTG